CACTTTTGTATTTTCGCTCGCTTTGCCACGCTCCCTCCTTCTGAAAAGAGCGCTACCTGCGTTCCCCTTCTCCTCCGCGTTCGCTTATCAGCGTTCGTTTCTGCGTTCGTTTGCGTTCGTTCGCTTCCGTATCTGTTCGTTCGCCACTTCCGTCTTCTTCTTCCTAGTTCGTTTTCGTCCAAGCATGCAGCAGCATGATTTTTCTTTACGCTTATTATATAGTCTTTAAGTTTGCACTAGTTCACCTTCTGTGTTCTACGCTTGTCAAGCATGCACATGCATGAGTTTAATAAGAATAAATAAGTATCATTATCAACTATGTTTTCGTGTTGCTTCTTGCCAACACTGGTCCTTCGAGCATTATCACACGCTGCATCAAGCATAGCCAATTAATACTTGAGCCACAAGGCTTTCATAAGAGAAAATAGCGCTACACATAGCGCATAGAGGCACAAGCCCGCACAAATACATTTCCACGGAGATCCGACAACACTTCGAAAACTGCGAAGTGTTCAATTCAGTACGAGTTCACTATTCGCTACACGCCTCAACAAAACGGAGTCGCCGAACGAATGAATAGGACTCTAATTGAGAAAGCACGGTGTATGATTCTGAACTCTAAGATGAGTAAGGTTTACTGATCGGAAGCGGTGATTGCTGCAGTTTATTTGACCAATCGTAGCCCAACAAGTGCGCTGAAAGGTAAGCTGCCGGCCGAACTTTGATTTGGAGAAAAACAAGATCTTCAGAAATTAAAAATGTTTGGATTTATAGCATACCTCCATATTCCAAAGGAATTAGTGAACGAAAAATTCGAATCACGTTCTAAACGTTGCAAAATGATAGGCTACTGTGCGAACGGATATCGACTCTGGTGCCCTGAAGACAACAAAATAATTTTAGGACGAGATGTTATTTTTATTGAATCAAAATTCACATTCGGAACTGGAGACTTCTACGATGGCTTAATTCAACAGAAAACAACAGACTTGGAAGAAACTAATAGGATCTCAAATCTAGACGGAACAGCAGATACAGGAAGAGAAGAGAAAGTTGAGTCAGATGATTCGTATACACCGTCGAAACAGGACATCGAAAAGTTAGGAAGAGGTGTACGAGTCAGAAACAAACCCAAGTATCTGGAAGACTATACTGTATTGGCATTATCTGCGGAATCATTCGTAGAAGACATCCCCGGACAATTTGATGATATACAAGGAAGAGACGATGAAGAACAGTGGCTGCTTGCAGTAAATGAAGAGATGAAATCACTCATGGAAAATAAAACTTGGAATTTGGTAACACTTCCTCCTGGAAGAAAAGCACTCGATAATAGGTGGGTGTTCAAAATCAAAAGAGGTCTAGATGGAAATATCAATAAGTACAAGTAGCACGTCTAGTTATTAAAGGATGTTCACAAAGGAAGGGACTGGACTATGATGAGACTTATGCGCCTGTTGCGGTACGAACTCTTCTTTCAATTGTGAACAAATTCAAGCTCAAAACCAGACAGTTAGATGTCAAAAACGCTTTCTTACATGGATCAATCAGTGAAACTATCTACATGAAACAACCTCAAAGATTTATCAAGGATGGTGATCTCGTTTGCAAACTAAATCGCTCGTTATACAGATTGAAACAAGCACTACGAGCTTGGAACGCTAGATTTCATTCTATAGTATATTCTACGTCAAGGACTGAGGAGATCAGAACGAGACAACTGTTTATATTCAGGTTTTTCAGAGGATCATAGTATCTACCTGTTGTTATACGTGGATGACATCCTTATTGCAGGAAACAATGAAGATTGGATGCGGAAGATTGTAAACTCACTTAAGAGAGAGTTTTCTATGAAAGACATCGGCGAATCCAAGATCTTTCTTGGGATAAGAATTGAGCAAACGATGGAAGGAATATTCCTAAGTCAAAGGATATATATGGAGAATATGCTCTCTCGATTTGGAATGTTGGACTGTAAACCCGCAAAAACGTCCATGGAAACGAGTTTCGGAAAATACAAGGACGAAGGAGAGACAATAATAGAGTTGAAACCTTACAGAGAACTTGTGTGATGTATCTCATGCTAACTACACGACCAGACCTGAGTGCTGCAGTAAACTTTTCAGTCGTTTTCAAAGCAACGCTAAACTTATTCACTGGAAAGGTTTAAAACAGATTCTTCGATACATAAAGGGTACTCTAAATTATGGATTGTTTTTTAGAAGTAATCCGGATCCGGAAGCACCGCTTAAGATTTACGTAGATGCCAACTGGACCACGGATGATGATCGTAAGTCCACCACTGGATATCTGCTGCAAGTTTTTGGATCTGCAGTAGGCTGATCAACGAGGAAGCAAACTGCAGTAACGTTATCCTCAATGGAAGCAGAATACGTTGCATTAGCAACGGCTCTAACTGAAGTGATTTGGTTAAAAGGACTTCTAGGAGACTTTAATATTTACAATAATAATCCTGTGTTAGTTTACGAGGACAACCAATCTGTCATCCATCTCTTGAGTAGATGGGAGCACCGTAGACTTAAACACGTAGATGTAAAATATAACTTTGTTCGCGATATGCATCGAAATAAAGAGATAGATGTACAATACCTAAGTACCAAAGAGCAAATAGCGGACATGTTGATGAAGAGTTTGGCGGGGGACCAATTTATAAAATTACGCTCTCATCTTGGTGTGTGTGAAGCTTAAGTAATTATTTGTTTGCATCCTTCATACATTGAGGCGGGGTGTTGGAATATGCAATGTATAGTATGTAGGCTGTTCTTAGTTTCAGCAGATTCCGCAGTAGAGTCTGTCGTCACTACATTAGTATGCTTTATTGGTATATGTTTCTTTGTTCTTTGCTCTTTGCGCCTGCGCTTATTCGTTTGTCTTTATGCGGATCAGTCTGGCTTGTAACTTGCTGCTGTAAACACGTTGTATTAAACTCTCTGTATCATACATAATCAAGTTCGTCAACTTCTCTTTACAATCCCCAAAACCAACACTCATCAATTCAATGAAGATCACTGCTGACGAAAATATAAATAAAATCAAATAACACGAAAACTGTAGAAACCATAGGGCGTAGAAACGCAACAGTCCTGACGTCACTTTTTTACTGTCGAGAATGGGAACACTTCTCCAATCAGTAAGATGACGTCACCCTAGTAATATTATTTTACTGACTGGCAAAGGGACATATGGGAAGACAGCCACGTTTCGAGTCCATCTTTTTCATGGCCGACCGCTTGAGCTTGATCTTCTTCATATTACTTCGTGGTCGCATCAAAAGGAAAATAATTAACTCTTAAGCCGCTTCTTACAGTTGCTTGAAAGATCGTGAAAATGTGTGAAAATTAAGTGCACGAAATTACTTTTTGATTAGATTAATATTCATTCTTTTATAATTTTACACCAAAACTTGGTTAAAAAGAGCCAAGAATTATGTTGTGGATCTAATATTTGAAGCACTTACTTAAATCAAAGATATGTAGCTTTGACCGGTATAGACCTTATTTCTTGCTTGCTCAATATTTTAACAAATTTATTGCCAGTGTGTTGTCATACACTGCGCAGTTTGCTTCTGAATAATTATTCTATATGTTGAACCAATTATAATTGTATACAATAGTAGAGCATGATAATATAGGCTATTGATTATGTCATATAGAAAGGAACTAATACGTTCACGGGTTTTTATTGTTGGATTCGGTCAATGGGTCATTTAATAAGAAAAAACCGCGGAGTACTATTAAATTAGAGGGTGGAAATCGGAGATAGGGGTGAAAAAGCTCCCTTTTCAGTTTTTTCAATATATCTCGCGAACGAAGCAAAATTTCGATATGCTTTATAAGAAATTTTTTGTAGATAATTAAATTTCCGATCGGAATAGGTTTTTTAAAAAATTAAAAAAAATTTTTTTCATGCCGAACAAGTAGAAACAAAAAATTGAAAAACAGCAAAAAATCCGAATTTTGTTGCTTTTCTACTTTTTTGCCTATAACTTTCTTTTGGTCAGAGATAGGTATAGGGAATGCTTCATAGAAAAAAAAGTAGACAAAATTTCCTTTAAAATGCTGTAGTCAAAAATTTTTTTTAGGTTAAAATTGGTCCAAATATGGCCACTCGAATATAGCAATTTTTTTCGATTTTCATCCCTCTTATACTGATATTGTTTCAATTCTCATTTTGTTGGACAAATTATTATTTTACTCAATAAAAAAAACCAATTTATGTAAAGTAACTTTTTTATTGAGTAAAATAATAATTTGTCCAACAAAATGAGAATTGAAACAATATCAGTATAAGAGGGATGAAAATCGAAAAAAATTGCTATATTCGAGTGGCCATATTTGGACCAATTTTAACCTAAAAAAAATTTTTGACTACAGCATTTTAAAGGAAATTTTGTCTACTTTTTTTTCTATGAAGCATTCCCTATACCTATCTCTGACCAAAAGAAAGTTATAGGCAAAAAAGTAGAAAAGCAACAAAATTCGGATTTTTTGCTGTTTTTCAATTTTTTGTTTCTACTTGTTCGGCATGAAAAACATTTTTTTTAATTTTTTAAAAAACCTATTCCGATCGGAAATTTAATTATCTACAAAAAATTTCTTATAAAGCATATCGAAATTTTGCTTCGTTCGCGAGATATATTGAAAAAACTGAAAAGGGAGCTTTTTCACCCCTATCTCCGATTTCCACCCTCTAATTTAATAGTACTCCGCGGTTTTTTCTTATTAAATGACCCATTGACCGAATCCAACAATAAAAACCCGTGAACGTATTAGTTCCTTTTTGCCATGATTTTTAAGACGTAATCAATAGCCTAATAATGCTCTAATGTTGTACACAGTTGTAATGGTAAAAATATGGACATTCTAACGATTAGCTCGAGCGCGTCCGATACATGTATAATTACTTTAATGATCTAGCTGCTGATATTTCTACTTGCCTCTATTTCCATATTTTTCAGCAAAACCATTTTTACCATTCTTTTCGTGTAATTATTTTTGATGAATCACTTACTTGGAAAAATTTATGACGTTCTGCACAATAAATATCGTCATATTTGTACTATTCTTATCGCAGCCTTCGATGGTAGTTGGTAATTTAGGTGGTACAGGACGTGGCTGACCAAAGACGATCCAGCATAGAAATGAAAATGCCGTAAGAGCACCAACTATCGTGCCACCTTCTGTCGCCGATTCCGTGGCCATGCCAAGAGTAAAAATACCTAACATCGGACTGCCGATTACTCCCAAGACAGTGAAAATAGCCTAAGGGGCCAAAGATATTTATTTTCTCTTCATCGATCTTATATTTAGATATAGTAACGAGCATTACCTGAACTACACCACTCACAAATTGCGCTAAAAATGCCAGTGCAATGGAAACAATACCTATTATGAAAGCGAGCACTTTAACAATGGAGGCTGACTTTGAAGGGGAGAATTCACGCCCCTTAAACTTTCTATACAAGGGTTTTAAATAATCCTCCAACATTATTGCCGCCAAAGAATTCAACGCCGCAGAAATTGTGCTGAGGCTTGCGCTAAAAATACCTAAAAATCCATAAATAGACTAAATTTAATTAGTGGCAAAGTAAATTAATAAAAGCATATATAATTATCAAGCGCGGAAATTGATACGCAAATATAAAAACAAAATTTAATGCAATGAGATTTTAATTATACAATATTACATATTATTATTAAAGCTTCCAAATCAATTATATATAAGGTGTCAAATAAGTCCCGGGACGGCTGAATATTTTCTCAAGTAAGGTATTTTTGAAAAAGGTCAAGATCATTTCTGAAGTAACTTTCAACGAGGAATTCAACGGTGACCTTCAATTTGACCTTGAGCTTGACCTTCAAGGTTATTTTAAAATTAACTTTGTTTTTTTAAATAGAAACCCCCTTTTTTGACACCGGCAATCGAAAGAGCGGGAAATTTTACGTTCAGATATGTACTTAAGTCATAGTGTTTGACCTTGAGGGTCACTCTAAGGTCATTCAAACTCGAGCAAAGTCTGGATATCTTTTGTAATAAAAGCATGACATTGAAGATGACCTTGTAACGATGCCCCCCTAAATGGTATCGTCACTACTGTACATGTCTGCAAATAAGGCTCTATATCGGAAATAATTCACAGGTACCGGTCGCCGAAACCGCCAGTCTCGTCGGAAAATGCCTATCGACGCCGGAGACCGCCGATCGGAAATCCTCTCTTCCACGAGAAGCTGATCGGCGGAAAATACCGAGACCGACCGGAGTATTGCGAACGAGACTGGCGGCTCCGTATAAAATACCGCGTCGACTACGCGACGCGGCCTTTTTTCCTATCACCAGCCGTACCGCACACTTCCGAATCACCAGCTCCTTCACAGTGCTCCGAGACCGACATCCAAGACCTGCTCGTTCCGACGAACCTAGGGGGTAGGGTGTTCTCTGCCTCTGCGGGCATTCTCGGCCTCCGGACAACCGCTGCAGCTTCCTACACACCTCCGCACCTTTTGTTCGTCCTATCTCGAATATTCCTGTCCCGATAACTGGCACTCGAAAGGGGGTAGGGCGCTCTCTGCCTCTGTCGGGCGTTCCCGGCCGCTGGTTATCGGATCCGTTTCCTTCTCTTCTCAACCATCTTCGATTTACGCGTCGCGCCGCGATTCTCTGCTGGCGTATACCCGCGTTCCGCCGCGTTGCAAATCGCCGTAATAGCTCGCGACCGTTTGTAAATATCCTGCGCGTTTAGAATTAAGTCTCGTTGCATTGTCCGCGTCCGCTTTGCGATTATATATATATTTCTGTTATCCGCGTTCGTCTAGTTCTTCGTCCATATCACCGTGATTTGCGTCCGTATTCTGTATTATATTTTCTTTATGTTATATCTTCGTGTGTTATAATATCTTTGCTTTTGTTGTAATAAATTGTGTTTGTCATCAAACTATCACTTTTATATTCTTTCTTTTCTTCTGCGATTTCCGACTTATCACGTATTTCCGAAACACCGATCCGACGCGAATACTCCTTCCGCCGAACCTTTTTTATACGCATTCCCGACGAGCTAGTCCGAGTATAAAAATCAGGTAGTTACAACCTTCAAGGTCATTTCAAGGTCAACTTTTTTTATTTACTTATAGCATTACCCTGCGTATTGGAACAAACATAAGCACACCTATTTCCATTGAAGGACGCACAATCGAAGAAGTCAACGACTTTGTATATCTTGGATGCGTAATTGCCAAAGACGGATAAACCAACATCGATGTTAGCAAAAGAATAAACAAGGCCCGACAAGTCTTCCTCAGACTTAATAAAATATGGAGAAACTCAAAGATGTCTAACTTACATAAGCTTCATTTATTCAATGCCTGCATCAAATCTGTGCTGCTATACAGTTGCGAGACCTGGAAAAACACAGATGGACTGATAAACAAATTTCAGGTCTTTGTGAACAAATGTCTGCGACGAATTCTGAGACTGTTCTGGCCAAACTCGCCAACTAATGAAGAACTACTGCGCGCCTCCAAGCAAGAAAAAATAGACACTGAAATCCGCCGCAGAAAATGGAAATGGATCGGCCATACTCTGAGAAAAGATCCGCATAACATAACTCGCATGGCCATGGAATACAATCCGCAAGGAAAGCGCAAAACAGGAAGATCTGCCATGTCTTGGAGGAGAACAATAGATAACGAAATCAAATCTATTGGAAAATGCTGGACAGAAATAAAAACGATTGACCAAAATAGAGTAAGATGGAGGAGACTCGTAGACGTCCTATGCTCCACATAAAGGAGATAAAAGGAGTGATGATGATAGCATTACCCATGAATAACGACGTGGACGTAGTAAAATCTATTCCCTTTGTGGTGCTTGATTAGCGTGAGTTCCCTCGCATCTCACGTCCGGGGTGCTTAATTAGCGTGAGTCCTCTCGCCTCTCACGTCCGGGGTGCTTGATTAGCGTGTTTTCTTTCAAGATTCTCTCATGTTTTCTTTCAAGATTCGAAGTTCAGCGCAGATGTTCAAACTGTAAACCTTGAGCTGAAAAGAAATATTTGTAAAGAAAAATAAGAATTAAATGGAATAACTTTTACGACGTAAACGCTCCCAAATATTTCTTTTCAAACAAGTCGTTTGTCTTTCTAACTGATAGTTTTCATTTTATTACTTGCGGATGAATCTCTGTCACTATTTTTTTATCTTATACGAATTTACGAATTAAAACTAAATTTACGTACGTACATACGATTTTCGTATTATCTTAATCTCAATAAAGGGACGTTCGAGCGTATTTTATAGATACTCAGTTTCCTCATAGATGGATTGGAAGAAGAGGTGAAATCGAGTGGCCTGCTAGATCCCCTGATCTGACGCCTTTTGATTATTTTCTTTGGGAATTTTATTTAAAGAGTAAAGTATACGACACTCAAACACAAAGCTTAGATGAACTGCGGAATCGGATTATGCAAGAGGCCGCTTTAATTGATAGAGTGATGATTCGTAATGCTGTAACTCATTTTTATAACCGCATAGCTTTTTGTCAAGAAGCTCAAGGTTTGCAGTTTGAACATCTGCGCTGAACTTCGAATCTTGAAAGAAAACATGAGAGAATCTTGAAAAAAAACACGCTAATCAAGCACCCCGAACGTGAGAGGCGAGAGGACTCACGCTAATCAAGCACCCCGGACGCGAGAAGCGAAGGGACTCACGCTAATTAAGCACCTCAAAGGGAATAGATTTTACTATGTCCACGTCGTTATTCATGGGTAATGCTATAAGTAAATAAAAAAAGTTGACCTTGAAATGACCTTGAAATGACCTTGAAGGTCATCTTCAATGTCATGCTTCTATTACAAAAGATATCCAGACTTTGCTCGAGTTTAAATGACCTTAGAGTGACCCTCAAGGTCAAACACTACTTATGACTTAAGTACATATCTGAACGTAAAATTTCCGGCTCTTTCGATTGCCGGTGTCAAAAAAGGGGATTTCTATTTAAAAAAACAAAGTTAACCTTGAAATGACCTTGAAGATCAAGCTCAAGGTCAAATTAAAGGTCACCGTTGAATTCCTCGTTGAAAGTTACTTCAGAAATGATCTTGACCTTTTTCAAAAATACCTTACTTGAGAAAATATTCAGCCGTCCCGGGACTTATTTGACACCCTGGCTGTTTTCGAGTCATCTTAAGACCTTAGAAACTCTATTAAACATAAAAGGTTTAAATATGCTATAAAACTGTATCGCTTAGTACTACACGAAGTAATTATATATACATGTAATTATAGATACATGTTCAAAAATTAATAAAAATTGCACTGCAAAAAACGAGCGATTAATAAAAAATAGCCCAAAGAACAGTCGGTGTAAAAAGAAATAAATATCTTGTTAGAAAATAAATTAACATCGGATATACTTCCGAAAAGGACGGGCCGGAAATTCTTAGCGCGCATATGTTTTCTAACGTTTTTTGATGTGCTGAATTCGAATATCATGATGAAAATTGGCGGAAATGCGATTCATTTTTTTGCGTTTATTTCGAAAAGAACAAATCTGACAAAAAAATTTTTCAAACAAAAAATGTAGAGCATAAAATTCTCTACAAAAAAGGTTATATGCATTTTCTTCGTATTATTAACGGTAACCCCGTAAATGAGGGCTAAGTACATAAATCAACCATTACAGCAACTACTACGCAACATTCACGTGGGTTCGATTATCGCCTTACTTGATTGAAATAGTTTAGGAACTATTTCCAGGATAGACGGTCTTTATGTCGGCTGTCAGTTGCGTGAACGGATCTGAACCTAATTTTGTAACACGCCGGCGCCACAAAAATTCGCAAAGATGTTCAGATAGCTTTTCTTTTTTTACGCCTCCACGAGAGAGAAACCGCCGCATCCATCGCCAAGAAGACTCTATATTTTGCGTGTGGACTCCAGTTTCGGCATTCACGAACTCCGCGGAATGATTCATTGTTTTGTGAATGTAACCGTGATCTTGAAGGTTTATGTACCCCTTCCAACAATCAGTATAGATCTCTGTCCCGGGAGCAACATGTTTTTTGATCAAATTGATCAAAGTATCTTGATCTCTCTTGTTAGCGGGACAAATTTCTAACCGATATTTATGTGATTGTCCTCTCTGGATCATTCCGAGAATCCACGAACCTTCTACGACACGTCCTCTCTGGTACTTTCGACGACCGATCTTGCATTCGTCAATTTCAACAATTTCATCAGCACCACCAATTTGGCCTTCTTCGTCGAGCTATTCGTCAAGAGCAATCATACAGATTTCTCTGCAGAATGAAAATCTGTCAGCTACTGTCTCCAATGAAATTGTTTTTCCGTCAAGAATGCTGCATTCACGTACAGTTTGCTGAAAATTAAAATTAACAGCAAAACTGTACGTAATGAGAATACACGTAGCTGCAGATACATGGCATCTCTCAAACCATGTATTTTCAGCCACTGACACACTGTGACGATTGCGCTTAAAATCGCAGACGAACATACCGCAAACATGCTTCGACTCTTCCAAAGCCATGTATTTTCTATGTTTACGGCAATACCTTTCAGTTGGAATCAGCTCCATTTCTCTCAATAATTTAAGCGTGTCTTCACGACTCCGAACATGAGCCGACAAGCTAAAGATGTTATAGCGCTCCGTCATTCCGTACAAATGATTTTCATACAAACAGCTGAAGAATAAATTACATTGGGAATGAAGTCTGCATATGACCAATCCGTAACCGTACTATTCTCGCGGGCAACAGAGAAACCTCGGGCGACATAACGTGGACAACGCTGGAACTAAATATATATACACTTGTGCCTGAACCTGCGCGACATGCAGTATTCGTGCGTACCGAATACCACCGAACACACACACACACACACACACACACACACACACACACACACGGGCGGGCCTTCGGCCACCCCCCCGCACCCACACCGTCACAGAGGTCTGCCCCGACAGTACTATCATAGCAACAGTATAATCGTAGAAGTCCTGTGCCCCTGTGCAGGGGGGAGGGGAAGGTTAAAGTAACTTCGCGTGGAAAGTTTAACGTTTCTGAACAGGGAAAGGTGTAGAATAGTACTTAATATCATACATGTATTATACAAGCTATGCCGATTATATCAGGTTTAGCCCTCATTTACGGGATTACCGTTGATAATACAAAGAAAATGCATATAACCTTCTTTGTAGAGAATTTCATGCTCTACATTTTTTGTTTCAAACGTTTTTTTGTCAGATTTGTAGTTTTTGAAATAAATGCAAAAAAATGAAAAAAAAAAGCTATTTTTATGGGTTTTTCGTGGTTTTCACCATGATAATCGCATTTCCGCTAATTTTCATCATGATATTCGAATTCAGCACATCAAAAAACGTCAGAAAACATATGCGCGCTAAGAATTTCCGGCCCGTCCTTTTCGGAAGTACACCCTCCATTTTAAATGGTTTTTTGGAAAACCATTTCCATTATACATTTGAAATAGAATCATGTCTATCATTTAACCATTTATAAAATAGGTAAATGGTTTTTTTATGTATTCATAAATTTTCCCTTAAGAAGAATCAAGTATCGTGGTTGGTGAAAACACAGTTTCTTCTATTGCGATGTTGTCTGATACATTTAAAAAACAATTGTTACTCAAAGCAAATAGTGCGTTTATTAAATAAAATAAAACTGTATTACTGTAAAATGTATTTTCTTTAACAAATATTAAAATCTTTTTAAGATCGTACAATGATAAACAATAACAAGATGAAGGTAGCCAATAACGGTTGTTCGATAACTAACTTAGGTTCGGTTTTTACTAACTAACAGAATCCAGGAAAACGATGTATAACGTAGACAATATTAAGTTTTAAATTTTAATACACTTGAATAAACAATTATGATATAAATATAATGAATTAACTTACTTAAACAGATTAATAAATGAGATTTAATTAGATAAACAAGCGAGTCTATGGTTATATAAAATATGTCTCTAAAATTAACGTAAACAAATAAGGAATTTAAAGATAGATAATTATGAACTATAAGAAAAAACTGTAAAGAAGTATCGACATCGTTCCTGATTCAGCATACAGAAGTAGCTTCCCTCTGACAGACGGCACAGAAGTACGTTGACAGAAGTAACAGAAACGAGAATAACTGAAAATAAAAGTACTTACGAATCAGTTAGCAAATGGAATCGGCGTCCAGCCGCATGTGTACCCACACAAACTGATGTGGATTGTAAGCTCGGCTTTAAGCCGCCAACCTTAAGCGTGATTTGAAGGAATGATCCTTCAACTAAATCTTATATTCTTTCTCTTTCTCTCTATCTCTGTCTCTCTAAGGTACCTGGAGATTATCAAATTGCTTCCCACCGAATGTGGAATCAATGGCTGCCTTCTTCGTGTGAATCGTATACACTTCCTTGATCTTCGAGAACGTTCCATCTATCGTATCTGTCAACTATGCTTGACCAGGCTCACAGCCTCACTTGATAATCACATCGGCTACTAGCCTCACATGAGCTCTAAGCTCCACACGATTATTAATCAATCAGCGTTAACGCATAACTAGCTTTCTTAACAAAATTGCACAAGCAACGAAAACGGTCGACCTGCTTCTCAATATGGCGACCGAAGAAGAATAACGACCGCATTAGCGAAGAAGAAGAAGAACCGCAAGCGACAAAAAGAACGTTCAGCGCCTCGCTCGGCCTTCTCGAGTATCACCTTAATAATTGCTCATGGCGGTCTTTGAGTTACCGACCTTGAGGATAAATATACCACCGGGCAAACGACCTGAACTTTAAACAACGGTCAAAGCTGGATCACAATGCTTATTATAATTATGTGTGAATTTTGTATACTGCGTATGTAATTATAGTCCCCCCATATAAATGTTGTTTATCATTGTACGGTCTTAAAAAGATTTTAATATTTGTTAATACACGTCGAGCCTGAAAAAGACGTTATTCCTACTTTAGATAAATATTGCGAAGAATATTACTACGTCGACGCGCCATCAGAGGTCTATCGATATTCGCAAATGTTGAGATACGCGTATACCCTCTTTATATAGAATCTCGATTTAATAACTTACACAGGCGTCTAAGGTAGGTTTCCACTACAATGCCTTACTGATAAGTCCAGTAGTGGAAACCGGGACAAAACGCTAAAATTATGTAATATTCTTCGTAATACATAAGAATTACAGAATTATAAATACGGAAATTTAAAATTATCATTTTCAGATTTTAATATGTCATTCAAAACACTATTAAGATCCATGATGCTATGAGCATCAAAAATTGTTAATCAATTAAAATTCGTGATATTACTGCGGTAGTAAGTATGTATG